ATATATATATATATATATATATATATATATATATATATATATATATATATATATATATATATATATATATATATATATATATATATATATATATATGCAGCATTATTAATTTATATTTATATTCTAAAATTTTATATTATTAAAAGGAGGATAATTTGAAATTTGGTTAATCCATGTGACATATTAAAAGTAAGGCACATAGAAAAATTAGGATAAAGCTAATAAAAATTGCAACAATTTTTTTCTGAATTAATAAATTATATTTATATATTTATATCAATATCCATATTTATATCTATATCTATGTTTATATACAAAAATAATAGGATAGTTTGTAATGTGGTGAAATAAGTGGCAAGCTAATAAGAAGTCATTTGACAATTTTCGAACAAAATTAATAATTAAGTCTTAGAAAAAGAAACAATATTGTTGGAAGTAATTAATATCAACTTTATCCAAATCTAACGTAAATCTTGTCTCTCTCCATATTTTTTTTGGGTTCTTTTTTATTTTTTATTTCCGCTTTCATGTCTTATGATATGCTGTTACATACCGGACTTAAAAGAGTTAAAATGAATAATCGTAATATTGAATTTTCCATTGGTAGATCACTAAGAAAGGGTCATATTGTGGATAAGACCATATAATTGAAGTCTAATAAATAAAAAAATTAAAGAATGAAAATAAATTAGAGAAAATGTGAGGATATTTCTACTAAGAATTAGTTTTTAAAAAAATACGCAATACTTCAAAAAATTATTGACTTATTAAAATATATTAATAGTTTATAGAAATACTTTAAAAATAAAATAAATATTTATGAAAGAATAATATTTACATATCTATTTATATTATATTTGGATAATGATATTAAACGAAGTGAAAAGTTAATGAAAAACACATGAAAATGCGATAATATAATATATTATAAATAGAAGTGAAAGACTATGTGAACTTGAGATTAGAATACTCTTAAAAATTTGATGAGAATGCTTAAACTATAGATAGGACCACGAAAGTCTTACTAGATAAAGAAAAATAAAATCTTGATAACAAATTAAAATTTAATAATATAAAGTAAGTGTCGTATATAGAATTTTATGAAGCAAAATTAAAAATTAATTTTATATCTTGAAACTAATAGAGAAAGAAAATTTAATCGCACGTAATATAAAAGCAAATACTATAAGAAAACTCAATAGATTTGGAAAATAACAAATAAAGAGTTTATGTATTAATATTTTGACCATAAGTAAAATATTAATGTATTAAAATAATTAAAATTTTATAGTAGGGAGGATAATATATAATGAGGAAAATAATGATAGTGTGCGGATACTTATACTTTGAATTAATTTAAATAAATAAATTAAATAACATAATATTATTGATAGATTTAAATGATGAAAGAGTTACGAGTAAGAGGATAAAATGTAAATATACATTAAATCTTAAGATAAAGAAAATTATATGTATTGATGATTATTAAAAGGATAATAATCAAGACATTAAATCAGCTGGTAAACTAATAAAAGATCACATTACAATATAACAATATTAAGTAATGTGTAATATAATAGCTATAAGCAAAGAACAAAAAAGAGAGAAAAAAAATGTAGAACGATAAGAGATATTTGAATTTGAGATGTAAAACAAAGTGGTAGTAAGAATTTTATTAAAATAATATTATTTAATATGTTCAAACAAAATAGATCTCAAGGTGACATGTTTACTATTCTTTAATATTAATCGCGGAGCGAAATGCAAGTAATAAAATCAAGGGATTATGCTGTTACAAATTTAAAAAGGAAAAAAAATATGTTATCCGCTACGAGATTTGAGAAATGATTTCATGTCCTCTTTCTAATTAATATCTAATGATTATCTATAATTTTTATGTGAAAGTTTATACTAATGTTATTTGCACATAACCTAAATAACTCAAATCATAATTCAACACGATTTGTGTCTGTTCATCACAGGGATATTAATACTAGTACATAATTAATGGTAAAATTATTGATCAATTCCCCGGCCATACAAGGTCATAGTAGGGTTAAATATCATTTTTATGCACAACACCTGGCGATAAAAGTGAAGAAAGTAAGGTAGTAATTCCAAGCAAAACATGACCCTGACTTGTTTCAGGTGCGGATCTAGAGTTTGACATATGAGTTTACGGGAATTCAGTAACTTTTGCACAAATTAAAAAATCTACTAAATATAAATATTTGACCGTAAATCCAATTATTATTGTAAATTTACTTGAAGTCTTGGATCCTATCTACTTTCGTTCTCCTTTTCACCACTTAAAACTACAAAACTTTTATTCTTTCATACTAGTAATAATTCTCTAAATCTAAACCAAACATTTCTTTTCATCATCATATTCTTCTTTAACTGTCTACCGTATGCTTCCCCAAATCTCCACTATCAAAAACTAACACAACAAAATCTCCTCTGCTTCTAAAACTTCATAGTGTAAAATCTTTCTTTGAAAATGGTCAGTAAGTCCAGTCCTGTGGAAGAAGTAGCTCTTGTGGCATTGTTGCTCGCTGTGAGTAAGTATTTTCCGTTCTACTGTTATTTCTTTGTTGTGTCGCCGCCATATTATTCCAACTTTTCGAACCACTAGCTGGAATTGAGCCACTCCCGCCATTATAACACCTGGGTTGAACCGGAGTATGGGACCGAGCATCCATAGCTCCTAAATTCAAGTTCAGGGCCTGGACCACTCTATCTGGCAGTAAAACTGTCGTGTTCCCTGTAAAGTTACCCAACAAAAGTTTTGAATACACATCAGTATAACATACTAAATTGAACACACAAAGTCACACATCAGTAAATAAATGAAGAAAAATGATAGTTATGGTCAAACAGATTAGCTGGTACTAATTGAATTGGTCTTTGATGTTCACACATACCCAAGAATACACAAACCAATTGAAAATCATCCATATGACACGAAGCTGACACTAAACAACAGTCCAAAATTAGGGTCAGCTTCCACTATCAGTGCCAAGAGACCATCAAGAAGAGTACATTTAAAAATAATTAAGACCAAATCTTCTTCATTAAGTACCAGTTTTTCAAATCCATCCATCCCCACTTGTATACAGTAAATTAAAGTAGGATACATAACCACTTTACACTAATCAATGACATAATTCAGATAATATCTACTGACGAAACCATAAAGGGTTGTTCGGTTTGAAGACAAGTTATGCTAGGCTATGTTGAGCGGACTCTCAAAAATGCTGTCACACCCGTGTTGGATCTTCCAAAAATGGATGCTAGGATTAGTTATGCTATAATTAGTTATTATGCTGTAATTAGTTATTTAATCCTGCGATCATCAATTTAACTGCTATAGCGTAGAATAACTTATCATGAAATTATTATTCCACCCACTGGCAAGTATAAGTTATCCCGGTACTAATTTTAATCATGTAATAACTCATCACAAGATTATTAATAGGTGATATTAAATTTTTTTCCTAGGATTATTTTTGCTTATTCATCGTACCAAACGACCCCTAATAGGGAAAACAAAAGAAGGAACTGTACCTGGTTTCTTCTTAGTTTCAGTTTGTGTTCCAAATCCTCTAGGCAAGAAAACACCAGTTCCAGCACACTCCTTTTTGGGACCAGGATTTCCTAGAAAAACAGCGTGCATCCCTGAGCCAGGCTGCTGTTGCTGAGACTGTTGCAACGTGGGCCAGCTAGAAATTGAAGAATTCATAGGCCTAGCAACTCCGTTTTGGCCTCTGCTCTGACCCAATTTCTGGTTGTTCTGGTTGAGCAGATACTGCCCAAATCCACCTTTAACCGAACCCAACACTCCTTGCCCTTGCTTCATTATCTGCTGCTGTTTCAATCGCTGAAACTGCGTTTCATAGTTAATATATGAAAGAATAACAATAGTTCAGCTTATTTATAACTTATAAGGACTGGATTTCAGTAGACAGCATAGCCACCCTGCCGCTTTCAATAGTTCGTACCTTTTTCGTTTCAATGTATGTGAACATATTACTAATTGAGGAGTCAAACAACAAGGTTTTCTTTAACTATATTTTTTACAAATACTTTTTAAATTATTAATTATTTTGACGTACTCTTTATATAATTTCTAAATATGTAAATTTTAATTAGAAAAAAGAGAAATTTTACATTCGAATTCAAACCGAAAACTAGTCAGTTTGATATTCCAAACATATTCAAATAAATTGAAACGGAGGGACTAGCATCTAATACAGAAAATTAAGGCTTACTTGAGCTACTTGAAACTGCTGGTAAGAGAGCTGATTTGACTTCAATGATCCGAAACATGGTTTAGAGTTATTTGGAGGAACAGGGACTGTAGTTTTCCTGGGCGTAGCACTTAATCCATTTTTGGTCTGATAAAGTCCAGCAGCATCCTCCATCATCCTAAGTCTAGCCACCTCATCAGCAGCCGCATAAAGAAGGTCAAAAGCCCTATCGTTTCGGTTCATTGGCGGCGGGGAAGAGGCCTGTGAAGGGCAGTTTGGACTTTCACTACTTGAGCCCTGTTTACACCCGCATAACGTCGACTGAGGTGAACCTAACAAACTCCAGCCCTAGAAAAAGCAAAAACCCCAAAAATTCATCTTAATCAACCAAAGCCAGAAAAAAAAGGAACCAAAAAATGAGTAATACCTTAGTGTTTTGATAGCCGAAACCGGATTCATGAAGTGTGGAGTGAGCCATTTTACGAGTTAACTCAGTGATATACTCTTCTTCATCACTCTCTGTATCGACCGACCCGACTGCGGACTCAACGGGCGAATTCAGGTCCGAGTGAAGTCCAAACGGGTTTAACCCATTTTGAAAATCACGTGCAAGGTACTTTACGCCGTCGTTTCTCCCTTCAACAATAGAGCTAACCTTGAAGTCCATTAGAAGGTCATCGTCAGTTAGAAACTGTGAAGGAAGCCAAAAATCATAATCATCCAAGTTCTTCGCCATCTCAATCCTCACCAAAGTAGCCACAAAAACGACCTATTTAACACTTGTAATAAAGCTCGATTAGGGCTATTTAATTAAAAGTAAGGATTCACAAAAGTTTGGATAAACTATTTAAGAGCTTTAATTAGTTGATTGAAAGGTTGCTGCTTCTTTAAGGTTTAATTATACTCAGCACCTTCTCCCTTGTGTCCTTCTCCCTTGTGTTTACACTAAGAAAATGGGATAGTAAAAGGAAGCAGCAGTGATGTAAAGAGAATCAAAAGGAATTGAGTGAGAGGAGGAGAGAGACCAGACCAATGGAGGCAGCACAGTTTATATATAATGAATAGCGAGAGAGAGAGAGAGAGAGAGAGTGGGATATAGTGGGGCTGAACCAAGGAGTTCTGTATCCACTTGCGGTGTCAGTAAGTGACTACACGCCCGCTAGCAAATCTTCCACTAATAAATTCTCCCTATTGCATTTTTTGTGATCATGTGAATGCACACGAGATTGACAATATTATTTTTATTTATTAGTAGGCATTTGGACATAAAAATTAGTTTAATTTAATAAAAATAATATTTGAAATTGAGTTGAAAATTGTATTTGAAATTATATTTAGATATGTATTTCATTCGAAAAAAATATTGCAGTTTTGTGTGGGGAAAAATATTTTTTGAAAAATTTGAAAAATTGGTAAAACAACTTCTTACTTTGAAATACTCATTTTCAGAAAAATTAAAAAACTTGCAAAATTTTATGGACAAATACATTTTTGAAAAAAGATACATAAAAAAGAAGAAAAAATTATGAACATACAACGCATTAGTTATGCGGCGCCTTCTTGAGATTCCTTAGAAGGGCGACGTAAGGCTAAGCAACTGATGCAGTTATTGTCCGCCAACTGAGGTCCCCTCCGTACGCTAGACTAGATTGTTAGTGCCGTATGGGAAAACCAATGTCAAGAGCAATTGAGAGAACAGAAATGAGAATTGAGAATGAAAGAAAGCTTGATTGCATTAATGAAAGCTATTACAGAAAAGCAACGCGGTGTCGAGGGGGAGAGACACCAGTACAGAGAATTGATTGCTTGCTAGAAAGTTTGATTGCTTGATCCCCCAAATAATTCTTAAAAAAAAATAATCCAAAACTACAAGACTAGGCTTGAATACGCTAGAGAAACATAATGGAAGTACTTGAAATAAAACTACTCTATATTTACAATGAAAATGATTTAGTTTTCTATAAGGAAGTAACAGGTCCATTGTCAGCAGCATTGTCTTTGGCATCACGGTCTGCGTGCGCGGCGTTGTCTGTGCGCGCGGCGCTGTTGGAATCAGCCTGCGGCTTGGCGCTGGCGAGGGATATCGGTGGGGCGACAGAGGCACCCGCGCTTGTCACTTGGCGCGGCCAAGACCACGGGGCCGTCCGTGGGGCTAGGCATTTGGAGGCTTGCTAGGACGCCACGGGGCGAGCCTAAGGGGTCATGGGGCATGGCTGAAAAGCCGCCCATGACATTCTCCCCCACTTGAGTTGGCGACGTCCTCGGCGCCTTACTTGCAAATAAATCTTCAATGAGGCTCTTGTAGGATTTGAGGTTTGTTCCCTTCTCCCAAGTATCCTCTTCTGCATCACACCCCTGCCATTTCACCAAGAACTCTTGGTAATCTTTCCTTGAGGCATGAATCATTCTGTCATCAAGGATAGCTTCAACACGCCTTTTCCCGGTTGAATTGAGACCTCGAATACTGGGTATTGTGAGATGGCTCCTTGAAGGATCCTCCGTGTCTTCCCGAAAAGGTTTCAGGAGACTGACATGGAAGACAGGATGAATTTTCCACCAAGCTGGGGTATCCACCCGGTATGCAACTTTCCCAATGCGTCTTTCAATGGACAAGGGTCCAATGAATTTTTGCAATAGGCGAGGGTAATGGACCCCCGAAAATAAGTACCGCTTTGGGACTTTGACCATCACTTTGTCTCCTACCTGATATTCAACAAAGCGACGATTCTGATCAGCATGCCTCTTCATCCGCTTTTGAGCTTTGACAAGATAGCTCTGCACTATCTCTAGATTCCGCTTCCACTCTTTTGAGAAGCTAGCAGCTCGAGGAGACTTAACCATGTTTGGTGCATTCGCAGTGTGTGGGAGTAGCGGTTGCTGTCCGGTAACAATTTCAAAAGCGTTTTTGTTCGTACTAGAGCTCGATAATCCACACAGAGTCGCAGGCTGCCATCATGTTTCTTTTGGAATAGAACAGGGGACCCATATGGGGACTTGGAGGGTACAATAATCCCTGTATCTAGCATTTTCGTCACTTGTCTCCGAAGCTCGATGAGTTCGGGTTGTGACATTCTATAAGGCGCCCGGGCAGGTGGCTTCACGCCCGGCACCAACTCAATTTCATGGTCCACAGTGCACCTAGGCGGGAGCCGCTTTGGAATGTCTTGTGGCATGACATCTTCAAACTCCAGTAGTAACTCCTTCACGGGTTCAGGAATGGGACTCGAGGAGCATTCTATATCTTCAATGCAGAGGGTTGCCAGGAACGTAGGTTCATTCCTTTTGACCCCCTTCTTCAACTGCAAGGCCGAGATGTTCTCAACGGCCATCTTCATGGGCAGGCACGTGATAATGCAGGGCTTGGCCCTATTGGTACCCATCATCAGTAGCATGTCTGCAAATGGTACAGGCATGGTGTTGGTTTGCCTTAGGAATTCCAGCCCAACAATCAACTCGAAGTCATCTATGATCACCACTCGCAGGTTGAATTTTCCTTCGTAAGGCCCAAGCTTCACCGGTACTTCTTTAGCTATTCCACCCACTGGCTGGGGAGGTGATTTGATAGCCTTGACGCTACCTTTACCTTTCCCTACAACTAGTCCAAGGCACTCCACCTGAGTCGAGGCTAAGTAGTTGTGGGTAGCACCCGTGTCTATCATAGCCCGAATGGGCTTGCCATTCACCTTCATCACGACGAACATTAAGGTCCTCTCTTGTTTAAGAGGAGTCTCTTCATTCGCCTTCTTTTTCCCTTTCCTGGAGACGGGACATGAGTCCTTCTTCTTACGAATAAAAGCACTGGTCTCCGCTAGTGCCTCAGAAATGGAACCCACAATTGCATTGAAGGCACCTACTGGTTCAGTCTGGTCCGCATCGTCTGAGTCGTCATCAGTCCCATCATCAATAGCCTGATGGGCATTCATCTGTGCATGTGGGCACTCATTGTTCCAATGTGGACCGCCGCAATGACGGCATCCTGAAGGGGGCTTTCTCGCCCGGTCATTGTTGTTTGGCGTAGCACTGTTGCTGCCGGAGGAAGGAGCTCTAGATTTGTTTGAGTTTCGATCTCCCCCATTTTTGCTAGGACCACCACTGCTGGGCTGGCCCCCTTTGAATCCTGCTCGGGCAGGCGGCTGAGGCCTGTCCCTTCGAGCTTCCATTTGATAGTCCCCGAGGCATTCAGCTGCTTGGATTGCCTTGGGAAGGGAATCTACCCTTTGTCTCTGTAGCTCCACGCGGGCATAAGGTTTCAACCCTTCCATGAAGGTGAAGAGTTTGTCCTTATCCCCCATGTCGCGTATGCTGAGCATGAGTGCGGAGAATTCTCGCACGTAGTCCCGCACTGATTTTGTTTGGCGGAGCTCCCGTAGTTTTCTCCTTGCATTATATTCAACATTCTCGGGGAAGAACTGCAGGCGTATAGCTGCCTTCAGTTCGGCCCATGTCTCGAGAGCATCTTCACCGGCCTTGATGGCTTCGTACTTCACACGCCACCAGAGTTTAGCATCACCCTGAAGATACATGGCAGCAGTTGCTACCTTCTTAGCTTCCTCCAGATCCCCAACAGCATCGAAATACTGTTCGACGTCAAAGATGAAGTTTTCCACTTCCTTGGCATTCCTGGCTCCACTGTATGGCTTTGGCTCAGGAATTTTCAGCTTCTTTGTCACGGGAGCGGAGTTCACAGCGCCTCCGATTTGGTTTCCACCTCCCCGGAGTAGGCCTTGTAAAGCAGAGTTGACAACATTGAGTTGGTCTGTCAATTTGTCAATGGTTTGTTGCATGGCAGTCACCTTTTCTGCCTCTTGTGCCCTGTGGGCTAAATCCTCGGTGCGCTCCTGTTGGAGCCCCTCGAATTTGTCAAAGATTTCGGCTGCCTCTGTGGCTGCCGTCTGCCGGTCTCCCTCGGAGTCGCGACTGATGTTTTCAACGTCAACTTCGACCTGAAGCACCCTGCGGTCCAGGTCGTCCAACCTTTGCAGTAGGCTGGTTCTTAGTTCAGGCACCGTATCCATGATAGGTCGCCATACCTCAACCGTCCCTTCGAGGGCCGCAATGCGGTCCCCATGATTCACCATGGTCAGAAATGGTGTTATGTCAATACGTTCCCTCGTCCGATGTCGAGCCTGAGCTCTGATACCAACTGATACGCGGCGCCTTCCTGAGATTCCTTGGAAGGGCGACGTACGGCTAGGCAACTGATGTCAGTGCAGTTGCTGTCCGCCAACTGAGGTCCCCTCCGTACGCTAGACGAGATTGTCAGTGCCGTACGGAAAACCAATATCAAGAACAATTGAGAGAACAGAAATGAGAATTCAGAATGAAAGAAAGCTTGATTGCATTAATGAAAGCTATTACAGAAAAGCAACGCGGTGTCGAGGGGGAGAGACACCAGTACAGAGAATTGCTTGCTTGCTAGAAAGTTTTGATTGCTTGATCCCCCCTAATAGTACTTAAAAAAAAATAAACCAAAGTTACAGGAGTAGACCTAATTAAGCTAGAGAAACATAATGGAAGTGCATGAAATAAACTACTCTATATTTACAATGAAAATGACTTAGTTTTCTATAAGGCAGCAGCAGGTCCGTTGTCAGTAGCAGTGTCTTTGGCATCACGGTCTGCGCGCGCGGCGCTGTTGGCTTCTGCCTGCGGCATGGCGCTCGCGAGGGATATCGGTGGGGCGACAGAGGCACCTGCGCGCTTGTCACTTGGCGCGGCCAAGACCACGGGGCCGTCCGTGGCGCTAGGCATTGGGAGGTTCACTAGGACGCCACGGGGCGCGCCCAAGGGGTCATGGGGCATGGCTGGAAAGCCGCCCATGACATCACTCATGTTTAAAGCTGCAATTAATTATATATAGAAAAAGAATCTAACCTTAACCTTTGACTGTTCACTTTGAAGAAAAGATGTGAACAAAATTTCATTTGGAACACGATCTTGGAATTGTTGAAATATTTAGAGCATGCGGTTGTACTTTTTCACATGACTTGTCAATATAACCAGTATATCAGCTTTGTTTATCTGTAGGAATTAGTTAAAAAAAATTCAAGGATTCTTGTTAGATAAAGTTA